TGCCAACACCACGAACAGAAGCACTTGAACCGTTGCCCATCAGCACGGTTGAAGTCCCTGCGGTCTGATAAGACGAAAACATGGAAATATCACCGCATACATGCACATTAGCACCCGTGTCAATCATCCAATTAGGAGAATGACATACTGAAAGAATAGTGGGAAATATACCATACCCATCATCCTTCATGTCAGTGTCTCCAATGACAACATTAGCGGTCTTGCCGCCTTTCCCAGGGTGACGCTTGTCATAGCGATTAGGGCAACTAGGAGCCCAATGATCAGGATCTCCACACACATGACAAGCACCTTTCTTCTTGTCATTCTTCTTCTTGAAGTTCGTGTGCTGCACAACCTTGTTCTTCCCATCGAACTTGCCCTTGTTTTTGAACTTGTGGGGCTGGAAGTTCTTCTTCTGTACCAGATTGGCACTAGATCCTCCCTCAATACCTCGAGCACGTGTATCCTTTGCTCTCGCCTTTTCTTCCACATCAAGAGCGCCAATGAGATCCGGGATGGAAAACTCCTGTCTCTTATGCTTCAGTAAGGTAGCAAAGTTCCTCCACGAAGGAGGAAGCTTAGTGATGATACCTCCGGCAACAAACTTGTCCGGTAGCATACAACTGAAGTGCTCAAGTTCTCTAGCAAATGACTTTATCTCATGAGCTTGCTCAACCACGGAGCGCTCTTCAGTCATCCTGTAATCATAGAATTGCTCCATGATGTACAACTCAGTGTCAGCATCCGAGACCCCAAACTTGGCCTCGAGTGCATCCCACATATCTTTTCCATTATCAATTGACGCATAAGCATCAACTATGTTCTCACCAAGAACACTCAAGAGAGCAGCCTTAAACAGAGTATCCATTTTCTGAAAAGCTTGTGCCTGTTGAGCATTAAGCTCTTCTTTAGGTTTGCCGAGAGTGGCACCATAGCAACTCATGGTTTGAAACCATAAGACTGCTCTTACACGCCACCTCTTATAGTGGATACCCTCAAACATAGGAGGTCTCATGGAAGCAGCAAAACCACTCGGGGTAAATTGCCTATAATAAGGTTTTTGGATTGTTGGAAATATGAGTAATTTAGCAAATGATTTTATTAACAGAAATACTAGATAAAGCATGACCAGAATAGTAGTGATAAAACAAGCCATGCGATTTGACAGAGAGAAGGTGAACAACATCTTCATATATGAATTGTAACTAAACATATCTAGAGCAGACAGTATAGCAAGTTGCATATATGAAATAGAGTCTAACATATCTAGGGCAAATACTAGAACAAGGAACTGTAGCAGGACCTCTAATAGAAAGGAGAAGAACACGTACGGGACAGCAGCAGCAGAAGCGCTGGACTTGGGGTCGGTGTCCTCGCCTGCCATGTCGTCGAGGAGGTCGTGGACATCGGGGAAGAAGTCGTCGGCGACCGGATCATGCGTGATGAAGCAGCCAGTAGTCGCGCTGAGCGCTCCCCAAAAACCTTATCACCCTTCTCCCGTACAGGACTCAAAAGGTGCGGTTTCGGAGGCCTACTGTCCCGACGTACGATGCACGCCGCAAGTCGGGATGAGGAAGATAGCAGCAGCTCAGAGATGGAACCGATGGCGAGGGAAGGAGTAGTTCTGGTGCATCTCGCAACCTGCGACGCGTCGTGACGAGGCGTGGCGTGGCGAGGCGGGCGGTGGAGGAGGAGCGTGTGTGGACTCTTGTTCTCATGCTCATACAAAGTGGGGAAAGAACCTCCCTTATAAAGAGGTCCGACTCCCTAAACTAGCAATGTGGGACTAAACTTTAGTTCCACCTCTTGCCTTGCACAAATGGGCTGCGTGGGCCTCTAGGATTTATTAGGAATTTCTGAAACTGCTATTGGGCTAGGCCCAAAATAGACAAAATTCCAGCATATCATATATTAAAAAAGAAGCGGCAAAGAAGCCGAATACAGAGTCTTTTGGCCATCACAACGCCAATCACAAGAATTAGCATCCACATCCACCAAACACACCCACCATGCGTACTACAATACTTGCTTCACCTAGGCCAACCTCATGCTGATGGCGATGGGGCAAGCCACAGAGCAACCAAGCTGCGTCACAACCGCTGCCGGAGATCTCTACAACAAGACCAAAACTCGAAGCCAACACAGACCAACGTACCCTACCCATTGAGTCAAGAAGAAGTCGGCAAGTGGACGGCAGGGCCTGGGCGGACCTAGAGACGGCGCCATTGATGAAGTCTGATGGCTTTTCACCCTGATGAAGTCTGAAGAGATGCACCGGGTTGCTAAATATAACGCAACACCCAACAAAAAATAGTTTCGCATTGCAAAAGTAATCCAGAAATATCACACGGACCGAGCATTGTGTTTTCCTCATGTGGGCCCTTGTGGTTGATACGCAGACGAGGTGGGTCCCAAACTTTGCCGATGAGAGGGTTTTGTTTTTAGATGTTTTGTCTCTTGTTAAGAAATGCAATGTGTCAGTGACTCTCTGAAAATGGAACAAGTTTCTCGCCGCCTAGCCCCCGTCCCGATGATGCCTCTAGCGCTGTTAGAGGGCATGTGGAGGTTTATCTATGATGGATCTCGCGAGACTCGATTGGCATTTTTCTTCGGTGGATGTGTGGATCCACTGGATCCGTGCTTCGTTCGTCTGCGTTCATGTGTCTACAGGTTGGATCCTTTCGATCTACGCTTCTCTTCATGGCGGCGGCTGCTGTTCTGGTGCGTTGGTCCTATGGCAACCATAGCACGGCGACTTTCCGAGTGTCTACTACAATAAGATTTGTACGACTTCAATGCGACTCGCTCTAATGCTTGTAGTCGTCGCTAGGTGGTTTACGAATCTGAATGTAATTTTTCTTCTATGAACCCAAATAAAAAACATTCTGCGATTTCATCATGTAATCCCACACGTATCGTTTTGATTTCTTTTTCCAAAATAAAGAGAGCACGAGAGGTGGCAGTCAGAAATTGTCTTCTTTTTGTAAGACCTCAGCATGAAAAGTTGGAAAAATATGCAGACTGCACTATAATAAAGGAGACGCTCCCTACAAAAAACAAAAGACCCTAAGGCCTTCCACTATGTAGTCGGTGCCCAAGGCATTAAAATATTACCAACTGGGCAGCGCTGCCCTTAAGATTTTATTTGGCACCGGGCTCACTATGTTGCATATGCAGCCTGCTAAAAACGGGACCCAGAACTCTATTCACGTGAGTTTCCTTCACCTTCTGCAGGCGGGCCATGAGCTAATTGTTTACTACTTTTTGCATTTGGCATCAGCTGGGCATCGGAGCAACTACTTGCTCCGGTTCCCACAAAAAAATTTATGACACCGGCTGGGGCAATGGAGGGATTCGGTGCCAAACTAAGAAAAAGTGAATTTGGCACCTCTTTTGGCCTACATAGTGGAAGGCCTAAGTGCCACGACAAATTCCGCCTTACGTTTTTTGTGGCGTCTTTGGATGACAATTTTAGTTATAAAAACATTAGGATGGTGTTACTTCGTGCCAAGGACGCAAAGGCAGCAACAACGAGCAGGCGACAGTTAAAATTTGACCTTGGTCTGTACTAGTAGGTACTATGGTGCAGGACATAACGTGTCCCACTGTTGTACCGCCCAATGATAAATGCTTTTTCTTCATAGTCAATCAGCTTTACAGCAGGAGTAACGCAAGAAAATAAATACATGCAACAGAATCCAGTGTACTGCCAGCATCGAGAGACACCACAGCAAGTGCGAGTAGCGGTTCTTAAAGTTACACGCCTCATGAAAACTCTCAGTCCTGACAAAAGCCAATGCCACCCCCACACACACTGTTGCGCTCCTACCAAAGTCCTTCGGCGTTTATCACTTTGAGGATCTTGCGTCAGCTTTCGCGCGGTGACGCGTCCAAGATTTTGCTGGAGGGGTTGAAATACAGACGCGGAACAGAGAAAACTGTATTTTCTTCAGTGTATCTAACGCCATCTCTTCGGCATAGTATCTTCTTAACCAAATTTAATCACCAAATATTCTCAGGCGTGTTTATAGTTTGCATTGACGACCGGACAGATGGCAATGGCAGTGAAGATAAGCTATACTAGATGCGCATCTCAAAGAATATATATGTTTAGATTGAAGAGGAATCACGCCGACCCTGAAATCTTAGTGCCACAAAGCACGTGATCAGTCACTCCACGGTCTCAAACGAAGCCACTGACCAAATCCAACAAAATCCGCAGCACAGGGAGACTCTCTCTGGGGGCTAAACTATTAATAACGCTAATCAAATAAACCCAGCAGCAGCAGCATCACCTTGTCCTAAAGCTAATCAAAGAATCTTTGGCTGCAGGACGCAGGCGAGCCAGAAAAGAATGAGACGCGGTAAAAATAAAATCCCAGAAGCGAGCAACAAGAGAGGGCTTTTGATCCCGACAAGCGGGTGCAGAAAGCAAAAGCTGAGAAAAAGCGCCGCGCTTTTCTTTCTTTCTTTGTTTATTTGCCACACTGGTACAGTAGTACTGTATGATTTTCTTGCCTATATAATTCTCGCCCTCCTCCTCCCTGCGGCTGCCACACAGGCGGCCGAGCCGAGCCGAGCGAGCAATAATTCGCACCGGCACACAGGAGCGGCAGTAATGGCCGCGTGGTGCCGGTGCCAGTGCCAGTAGCACGCAGGCAGGCAGGGGAGCAGCGCCACTGCACTGGGCACTGGTGACGCTTCGAGCCCACTCGCCACACCCTTCCCTCCCTCCCTCGCTCCCTTCGCCTCCTCAAGCCGGGCTCCCAATCTCGCGAAGCGGCGGCCCTCATTGGCCGGCGGCGGTGCGCGGCCCCGGTCGTTTCCTCCGGCGTCAGGTGCCCGTGATCTGGTAACTCACTTTCCGCCGCGGTTTTGTTTTCTCTTGCCCCTTTATGTGAGATTGCGCAGCTTGCAGCTTTGGGCTTGTGCTGACGGAAATAATTTCCGCGACTGGAGGTTGTTGCAGAGGCGGCGAGGTGAGGTGACGCGGCGGCGCGATGAGGTGGCTCAAGTCGTTTGTTGGGCTGAGGAAGGTGGAGAGGCAGCAGCATCAGCAGCGCCGCAAGGAGGATGGCGACGCCGGCCGAACAGTACGGAGCACCACCTCTACCTACCTACCTACGATTCCGCCTCTGCCTTTTTGTTCTCACCTCTGGGTTCCTTAATCCCATTTGGTCTACTTACTTACTCTGCTTGTATGTGGAAGGATCATAGCAATATTTTGCCCAGTGCTTCGTGAGAATTCATTCTTATCCTACAATAAATCTAATCTATAGGTAGCAATTGGTGCTTCTTTATGCAATGCTTTTGCAAGTTCTTGCATTTGTTGGCTTGTTGCAGATCTGGGTGATATTATTTGAGTCACCCTTTGGTTCTGCACCACTGACAATATTGAATTTTGGGGACTGGAATTAGTCCAAAAAGAACTCAACTAATCTGTTGCTATGTAAGCACAACAACAACTATAAATTTGGAACAAGAATAGATATCTGTATAGTATTGCTACACCAGTACACCGTCCCTGATTATAAACACATGAGGAGAATATATGTTTCTGCTGCCATTTTTTTGGAATAGAGTGATGCCACATGCTTCTTTGCTGATGTGCTATGAAAATTTGCCTGTTTGCTTACACATTGTGAACTGGGGAAATTGCAGAAAAGGGATGCCGTCGATCAGTTCCACTTCCAGGATCAGCACTCCCAGGATCACGCTAGCCTTGTCGGACCAGAAGAGTTCCCTGATGGAAATGTTCCGTCAGAAGACGATTGCAGCACACCTTCATGCTCAGGACCTGGTTTCAGTACACTTAGCGTGCCACTGCCTCAAACAGAAGAGGAGCTCAAAGAGATCTGGGCTGCCACAATTATTCAGACTGCGTATAGAGCCCTACTGGTATTCACCTTTTTCTCTGTCCATTAGCAGTTAACTTCTTGCTTGCTCTGTACAGTGGGAATAATTACACATGTTTCCTAACTTGTGTATATTGATAAAATGCAAGGGGCCTGAAAATTTCAATGGTTACGTTTTTTAGAGAAATTGGATCTTGTGCTACCTTTTAACTAGTCTTGCTTGATTGCTGATGTGTGGTTAACTAGTAAAGTACTAAAGCTCCAGTCTCCAAAATACGGAGCTCCTGTGTCCAAGCAAACCTGCACCTGCAGGGCTGCATTTGCATGTGTAAGGCAGTATTAGGAGGCTTGCTATCCGTTGTATATTTAAAACCGGACTTTGTGCAGTCAGTAGGGTGTGCTGCACTTGTCTTACCTCACAAATTTCACATGGTTTTCAATTCCAACAACTATAACATACAGAGTGATTAGCATTATGTGATGACTATGCAGTTTCAGTTGAAGTAAGAAAAGCTACAGCTCGATCATCCTGATACTGTGATACATGGTAGAAGTAAAATCTATAATTCCTGGAAATGTTATGTATAGGTTTATGTTCATCGACATCAGTACTACTCCCTCCGTCCGGTAAAGAGTGTATGTTTGGCTTCAAAATTTGTCCACAAAAGAGTGTACTTCTATCTTTCCAATGCACTTTAAAGTAGAAAAAAAAATTCTCTCTCATCACACGGTAATCAAGACTAATAACAATCTACACATGGTCTTCTTAATTTCTACATGCACTTAGCTCATTGGGGGTTGGTTAATTAAAGAGGAGAGAGATTGGTGTCTTGCACTTTTCCAATGCATTTTTTACTTGACTCCATAATTTGTCCTAAAATCTCTAGATGTGCACTCTTCACCGGATGAAGGGAGTATGCAACAATGTTTGCTGGACTGTATCTTCGACATCAGTACTGTGCAACAATGTTTGATGGACTGTATGTTCATACGGCTGGCTGTCGAAGTATTAGTGCAAAGCATTGTATCCTACCAACAAGTTTATCTTGGAAACAAAGAAATGTTAGAATGTAATCGAGGAATCTGCCAAGATTGCTCTAATTGTCTATTTTCTTGTAAGGTACTAGTACTACACTAAGTTTAGCTTCATTCCTCTTCAGGCTAGGAGAGCCCGCCGAGCTTTAAAAGGACTGGTTAGGCTTCAAGCCCTTGTAAGGGGTCATATAGTGAGAAAGCAAGCTGCTATAACACTTCGGTGTATGCAAGCTTTGGTCAGGGTACAAGCCCGTGTTAGAGCAAGGCGAGTTCGTGTTTCCTTGGAAAATCAGATGGACGAGCAACAAAATAATGTAGAAGAACAAACCGGCGAGGCACATGTTCGAGAAGTTGAGGTAAGGCACACACCAGTTTGCAAAAATTGTGCTTATAATTTGTAAGACATCCTGTTATATAATTTTTTTTGTTATGCTGCTTGCCTTATTTGTTGACATCCTTTCATAAGGTTCCTGTTAGAGTTACATTTTTTTATCAGGAAATAAATGGTGGTGCAGTGCAGTTATTTGGCTTGAGTTGTTAACTTCCATTACCACCTTACTTAAAATGCAGGATGGGTGGTGCGATAGTATAGGGTCTGTGGAAGACATCCAAGCAAAATTGTTGAAGAGGCAGGAAGCAGCAGCCAAGCGTGAGAGAGCCATGGCCTATGCCCTTTCTCACCAGGTAACTTTATCATACGTTTTACCCGAGGACATTACTCAATGGTGGTAACAACATGATGCTTGAACCGTGGATTAGTGAATGCTATATAGTGCACCAAACATATTGCCCTGAACCTAAGTATAGCTTCTGGATGTCTAAGGTCATTTCGGAAGCCTCATGCTTGCTGTTTTTGTGTGATTGGCTGCACCGCACTCTACTATGTTTGCTGTTGCTACACTCCAACTTCCAGGTGTTGCTTTCATGAATAACATAGAAGTTAACCTTCCCTCCAAGCTAGCTACATAATTTTGTTCTTCATGTTTTCCTTGCTATTCTGCTCTTGATTAGCTTTTATCTGTAATTTTACTGCATAGCCAATATTAGGCCACTACTTGAAAAGAAAAAGGGAAAGCATCAGTGCTTCCTTTAGTGTTCCATCTGAAGTTTCTTCTCTCCTTTTGCAGTGGCAAGCAGGTTCAAGGCAACAGGCAGCCATTACAGCTTCTGAACTAGACAGGAACAGCTGGAGCTGGAATTGGCTGGAGAGATGGATGGCTGTCCGCCCGTGGGAGAGTCGGTTCCTGGGCATGTACGCAGCAGATGGAATTGCCATCGATACCGGAGCGCAGCACGCTGAGGGAAATGCAACCAAGGCCCCATACAGGAAACCTGTGAAAAAGCAGGTTTCAGCTCTTCATTCAAATGTGTTGATCCAGAAGGCCCGGCCCTCGAACTCAGAGGGTGGTGGCTCCTCGTCGAACCCGTCTGCCGGTTCGGCGTCAGCTAAACCGAAACGGAAGCTGCCACCGAAAGAAGGTTCTGATGAAGTCTCGTCTCGTCTTTCGGGACTTGGTGTCCGGAGCAGTAGTAATCCTAAGGAGAGGCCTGGACAGTTACAACCACGGGCCAACAAGAGGTTCTCCTTGCCTGGCACTGGTAAGTCCAAACCTTGCATCTGTTACTTCTAGTGATGCAAAGATTTCCTGCTGGTTTCAGTAACTTTTCTTCTTCGGAAAAGGCATCATTTTTTCGATAAATGTCCTTGTCTAGCATAAGTTTTTCTCATGTGTGTGCGCTATAACTACTCAGCAGTTCAGAAATAATCTCCATACTACAAGCTGTTTGTTTCCTTTTTCCCCAGAAAAAAATAAAAGCTGTTTGTTTCCTGTTCCAACTTGTGCCTCGGTTTATTACGGTTGCTTAAAGCTTCCAGATAGACTCACTTGCTACTGAAAATGTGCAGGCACAGAAACTGGCAAACGGCAAGTGAATAAACCTGCGGTGAGCCGATCCCCCAAGGCTACCGAAGACTCCCCAGCGCTGGAAGGGAAGCATCGCCGTGCCGGTTCCGTTGATCTGTTGTTCAAGAGAGTTGAGCTGCAGGCTTGACAAGCCATCTGAAGCCCTATCTACCGTCGTCAAGGTTTGAAGCATGCGACGACGGCCTTAGATTCTGGAAGGTCCATTGGAGCAATTTGCATTTATTTCTTAGCCATATAGGTATGCAGTCAAATGCTCATCTCATGAGATGAGATCTAGCTAGTGCTTGGATATGTATGTGCTGGTCAGCTGGTGCCTCTAGTCCTGGAGGTTACCATAGCTTGTACTGTTGTATTTGTAGCTAAGAGCAAGTATGGACTCACATTTTCTGGGACTATTTTTTGTACAATAAAAATTCTGAAATGTTATGTTTCAAGGGGTAACCCTGTGTTTTTCACTGGTGTGTGCTCTGTAATCTGTACCTTGCTTTTTTTTTTTGAGCAATTGTAGTCTGTACCTTGCTTTTTTTGAGGGGTTAGTCTGTACCTTGCTGAGTTGCTGGGCCATGGTGTCTGAAGTATAAGCTTAGTAGTAGACTTGCTTGTTAAGGCTGCGGCCCATCAGACGAAATGGGCTCCGGCCCAGCAAGAAAGCCAGCTCATTCTACCCATTCCCTTTATTCCTTGCCCCGACGCGACGCGTTTTGTTTTGTTCCGTTTCCTTGGCGTGAACCGTAGCGGAACCGTCATCCATCGACGACTTCCGTCGCGCCCGAGGCACAGCGAGGCGCCCGAAACAATTGTCTGTCTCCATGGCGGCAACGACGACGGCGACGTCGAGGCGGGCGCCGGCCGTCCTCGCCCTCGCCCTCGCCCTCCTCCTCCTCGCGGCGGCGCCCTCGGCCTCCGCCAGGGGCGACGGCAACGGCGTGTACGAGCCGTGCGCGGACGCGACGGTGAGCCGCGGCGACGGGTTCACCTTCGGGGTGGCCTTCGCGGGGCGCGACGCCTTCTTCTCCGGCGGCGTGCAGCTCTCCCCCTGCGACAGCCGCCTCAACCTGGCCGGCGCCGGCCCGCTGCTCGCGCTCTTCCGCCCCACCGTCGACGAGATTTCGCTCCTCACCGTCAACGCCTCCGGCGCCGGCGACCTGGTTAGTCGCCCTCCGCCGAGCTGCACCTCCTCAAGCCTTCCCTCCTGATTTTGCTGTTCGATCGAAGCTTTTTGTGCGAGGAATATAATCCGTAGGACGAACCCTAATTGATTTACCCATTTGCACCCCAGGGGAACTAATTGTTTGGCACAAAGAATTGTCTGCTAGCTCCTTTTTACTTCTTCTATTCTACTCTATAAATAGTAAATAAATCATGGTACTTTGCAAGCAAGAATTTGGGATGGCCATCAATCATGCAGTACTCCCTCCTTGCCTTTTGTCAATTAGTGTGTGAGGGATGAAGAAATTCAAATCGTTGGGGAGACCTCGCAAATCCATCGATGATGGCCTCTTGATTGGGGAGGTTTAAGCCAAAAAAACGGAGAGCTGGACAGTGTCCCACAAGCAACACGTCCAGACAACCGACAGCTACATTTTTGGGCTCATTGGAGGAGGGTGGATCCGTTAATGGCGCTCTCGACATGCCTCCGTGTTTCTCTGTGGCCCAACCTAGGTACTTGGTCGTTGCAATCTCGTCTGAGGATTTATTGAATGTGCTGTCCCCTCACTTTGGAGAAATTTCCCCTTCAACTGATTGATTGGGCTCAGCCGTTTGTTTTTAAGATAGTAATGGCAGACTGTCATGATGAGGACCCTCATTTATTTCTCATCTTCCTGATCCATTGACGGCATTTTGTTTTTTTTCCCCTTGCAAATATGGGTCAAGACTCAAGATGCTGCATACAGTAAGAACGATTTCAGTAGTACTGAAAATTTCAGCACACTGTAATTAGTTGCCGAGACAACCTGCTGAGAAGAACTGCACAATAGCTTTGCATAGTTCAATCATGATACAATTGTTACTTTCTTGTACTCGAGTAGATAAGATAGCCAGATAGGTGTACTTATGAAATGTCTTGTTGGACAGTTCTGACATAAAAGATGATGGGTTCATCATTAGTTCTAACATGCCGTTCTTTCACTCTGTTCCAGACATCCGCTGGTGGGTACATGGTGGCATTTGCCGGGAGGAAATTCGCGGCAAGGTCGCCGCCCGTGTTCGTCGGCAACAGCTCGTACACAGTCACCGGCTTCACCCTGGTGCGCCCATAATTAACCCGTAACCTGGGCCAAATCACCGGCGACCATCTGCTCAACTGACGCCTATCTCTGTTTCCCAGGTGTTCGAGTTCCACAAGGGCACGCTCCAGAACCTCTTCTGGAAGTCCGACGGCTGCTCGTCGTGCTCCGGGCAGGCCAACTTCGGGTGCGTCGAGAACAGTTGCGCGATCAAGACGTCGAGCTGCAGGGGCAACGGCGGCGGCGGGCAGGTGGACTGCAGCCCCGGGATCCAGCTGGCCTTCTCCGGCACGGACAAGCACGAGGCGGTGCTCAACTCGTGGTACGAGGTGTCCAAGCTGAAGCAGTACTCCCTCTTCGGCCTCTTCTCCGGCCTCAAGGACTCCCTGGCCGGCCAGTTCAGCAACTTCTTCTAGCATCGTGTCGTGTGTGCTCGGTCCGTCCACATCGTGCAGCTTCTGAAGGCAGTCACACACACCCGTTGCCTCATATTGCGTCGTCACCCGTGTAGTGTTTGTTCAAGCTGTCGCGATATACTGTCACCCGTGCATGCCGTGTGACGTTTGTAACAAAATGCTCTGTATATCGATTATCAGCTGCTACGTACGCTCGTTAACTGATAGGTATATATAGAGACAGTGTAAGCTACGTACGACGAAACTAGTGTATTTTTTGTAATGTATAATGTAATGGTATTTGTGTATTTTTGTGGTACGGTATGGAAGAGATGGTGGTTTGAAACGAGTACATTGATTGACTGTCCACGATGCAACTATTGGAGAAAAGTGGGATGTTGGGTGAGCTAAAATTTTGTTACTTTGGGCTGTTGTACGTTTATAAAAGGAGAGCATTCGTTTGTGACGCGCGTCCTTGTGATCCGGCCAGCGCCGGCACGTACGGTGGCCCGAGTCGAGAATGACGAGCGCTTGCACTTTGCTCTCTTCATAGAAGCTACCTGATCGGACCCTCCTGCGGCCGCCAGCACCCTCCTTCCTCGCCGCAGTTAGATGACGAGGCCGATGGCGGCGGGGTGTTCCGCCTTCTCTCTCAGTGTTACATAATCTCGAGTCCGCTAGTACCAGCATTTCTGTTCCACATGTGTTAACCAAACCCAATTGAAAAGCAACACCGACTTATAACAGGCTTTAGGCTCATCCCCCTCAAAAGACTAGCCTGTTAGGAGGGGACACCCCCGTCCTTATAAATCGTGTCCCGCCTCCTCCCACAACTGACGTGGGACTAAACCCAACACTCAGGGCCTCCACCACATGACGGCGCGGCTGGGCCGGGACACCGTGATGGCGAGGGGCGCGGTGGTGCGGCGGCGGATCCCCACAACGGCTTCATGGTGGCGTCGCCATGGTGGAGGCAGCGGAATGGTGGTGACCCTAGTGCTCCTATCGCATCACGACAACGATATGCATGATCAGTCCTTCTTGATCTGGTCGTCGACGTGTTCCGAAACTACTGCCGAGATCTTGCCCAAGGATATCTGGATCGGATAGAATCCGATCGTGCGCGTCCATATTAGCCTGCGCGGCTCCATGAGGGCGCGGCGTGAAGCTTTGTTTGTTTGTCGACACCATGAGACATGTCGGTATCCCGATTTTCATGGCATAGACAGCGGTGGAGAAAGTCATGGTGACTGAGATCGGAGGATCAGTAAGGCGGAGGGGGCCTTGGAGGCACTAGAGGATTTCATTTTTTGGTGGTGCTCCTCGGGTGCCGAGTCGTGACTTTCAGGATGAAAACCTAAGGTCTGATCTTCATTGGCTGTGTCTGGCAATTGCCTTGCAGGTATTGTTTTGAAAGCACGGACTTTCTCTAGGGTCAAAACTTAATATCTTGGATCGGCTGTCGATGGTGTTTGTGCACTTTTTTCTTCTTGAAAACATTGTTTTTTGAAGATCTTTTATGTTTTTGGGTGTTGTCTTTGGTGGTGGTTTATGGGTCATTGTGATGAGGCCTTTGTTTTTTTCTCTATCTTTTATAATTTTTCTTTTTGGGCTGTGTGTATCTTAGATTTCTTTGTGACATCTTGTTGGTGTAGAGACTAAGAGTAGTTAATATCTTCACGAAATTAATATATAGAAAAGGCTTGCTCTGTTGCTCACGAAACAGAAGATACGGTTCGCCGGCCACTGGCGCGAGGGACCGAACCAACTAACGAACATTACCTTCCTACGTATACCTGGCAATTAGGCGCCTGCTCCTCTTCTTGCACGCTTGACGCAGCACTTTCATGCGGTCAGGAGACCGAGCACCTGTGGAGTATGCATGTCGCCAACTTTTCATTTCATTTCTTGTAATGCGTGACTCAGCCCATTTGGACGAGAGAGAGAGACAAAAAAAAAGGTGTTCTGGTCAAGTGATCGGGTCAAACACGACTAACCGTATAGTATATATGAATATAATGAACACACCGCAAAAAAAAGAATATAATGAACGACGATGGCTCCGTCATCAGGGGACGGCTACCGACGGAATTTACCGCCACCCAATCCAATCCAATCCAATCCAGGCAGTTCACGTAGAATTTGCCGCCACATCCTACGATTTTTACCCATACTACTTAATTTTCACCCCGCGTCGAGCTGGTTTGTCCGGCGCGGCGCGGCGCGCTGCAGATATGGAATCCGTTGCACATGCCCGCCTGGTGAACTTTGTACAGCCAGCTAAGCTGCGTGCCGCACTTAGCTGACGCGGTTATTAGGCTCGAGATTTCCGGTTTCCAGACATGGATAGCCGACGCCCCCACGCCACCGCGTGATCCAAGGACCGGACCCAACCTGGACGCCAAGCCATCGGATCGGATCGGATCGGGTCGGGCGTATTACTATTGGATCCACTTGCCGCAGGGAGAAGGAAGGGTGTGAGTCGCCGTCCGTCCCCTTCCTCCCACCTTCCCCGAGCACGAGACGGCAGACCCCTTCAACCCGACTCCGCGTCTCCGCCCCGATCAGTACCGGTTAAGTAACTAACCCCTTCTCCCTCCCTTGTCCACTCTGCTTCTCCCCCTCCAAGAAACCGGCGTACAGATCGATCGATCGGCCCTTGCCTGAGCCGGCAGCAGTAGACATGAACAACCTCTTCTCCAGCTCGTGGAAGCGCGCGGGCGCGGGGGGCGACGGCGGGGACCTGGAGTCGGGCGGCGTGGAGATGACGGCGCCGCCGGGCGCCGCGGCGGGGGCGAGCCTGGACCGCTTCTTCGAGGACGTGGAGTCCATCAAGGACGACCTGCGGGAGCTGGAGCGGATCCAGCGCTCCCTCCACGACGCCAACGAGTCGGGCAAGTCGCTCCACGACGCCTCCGCCGTGCGCGCGCTCCGCTCCCGCATGGACGCCGACGTCGCCGCCGCCATCAAGAAGGCCAAGGTCGTCAAGCTGCGCCTCGAGTCGCTCGACCGGGCCAACGCCGCCAACCGCTCCGTGGCCGGGTGCGGGCCGGGCTCCTCCACGGACCGCACCCGCACCTCCGTCGTGGCCGGCCTGCGCAAGAAGCTGCGGGACGCCATGGAGGCCTTCTCCTCCCTCCGCTCCCGCATCACCTCCGAGTATCGGGACACCGTCGCGCGGCGCTACTTCACGGTGACGGGGGCCCAGCCCGACGAGGCGACGCTGGACACGCTGGCGGACACGGGCGAGGGGGAGCGGTTCCTGCAGCGGGCCATCGCGGAGCAGCAGGGCCGCGGGGAGGTGCTGGGCGTGGTGGCGGAGATCCAGGAGCGGCACGGCGCCGTGGCGGACCTGGAGAGGTCGCTGCTGGAGCTGCAGCAGGTGTTCAACGACATGGCCGTGCTGGTGGCGGCGCAGGGGGAGCAGCTGGACGACATCGAGGGCCACGTCGGGCGGGCAAGGTCGTTCGTGGACCGGGGGCGCGAGCAGCTGCAGGTCGCCCGCAAGCACCAGAAGAGCTCCCGCAAGTGGACCTGCATCGGCATCGGCATCCTGCTCGTCATTATACTTATCATCGTCATCCCCATCGTGCTCACCAACACCAACAAGAGCAGCAACAACAACAACCAGCAGTAGCCTGTGGATCTGCCTGCCCGTGGCGATGATGATCCGGGCTTGCTTGCTTCTTGCTGGGTGTTGTTGGTTGTTTTTTGTGGAATTTTTTGCGATTGTAATTACTCCGTCCGTGCGGTTCGTTGAGCCACTCGATTATGTTATTATATTAGTAAAAATGCCCGTGCGTTGCAACGGGTCAAAAAGATAGCAAAATCTGCTTTATGTGTGTCATTGCGCAACATTTCTTATATTCAATTCTGATTATCTCTTTTTTGGAGTATGAAGTGTGGATTTGAATAAGCCACCTTAACATCCTTCATCTGATTAAAGAGTACTTGTGCATGGAATAGTTTGTCAATCGTTTTTTTACTTTTCGAGAGAACATGAATATTTATTTATTTTAAAGTAACATATTTGAGTTTTTTTTATCATTTTTTAAGTGGGATTTTTTACAATTCGCATTTTTTAACACATGATTTTTGAAAATAATTTTGATTTATATATTTTTTGAAAATATTCTTAAATACAAACATTTTTAAAAATTGGTACATTTCTAGGACATATTGAATGACGAGGAGACATGAGCAGGCGGCGGCAGTGCTTGGCCCAAACAAAACACTTCATGCTCGTGTCTCCTCGTCGTTCTAGGGATACAAAGCACTTCATGTCGTGTTCTTCCACCATGGCCATCAGACTATATTTTTTTAAAAGCGAACGGGCAACCAAACTGTTGCAGCTGTCATCGGTTGACCGCCGCTTCATCGGTTGCCGCTTCATCGGTTTGTTTGTGACAAAAAAATCAAGTTATTAAAAATAACCTTAGATCAAATGAGTACACATAATATTGGATGTAATATAAAAATAACCAAGCATAATTTATATGAACCCCACAGATTCAAAACAACAGAAAAGTATGAATGGTCATTGCCGGCCAACTTTTTTGTATGCGAGAAGAGAATGGCCATTGAATTAGAGCATGTTCAGGTGCACGCACGCAACCGATGTTATTTATTTTAATTGCTCCCTTCTCGGCCCGTGCACATTCAGCAACAGCATCGTTCTTTTTATTCTTTTCCTTTAATGCTCATACATAAGAGCAAATTTTATTCCTTCATATTTCTTTCATTTTTTGCTTTATAAGAGCCGAATTTACTCCTTTTAATCTCTTCCCTTTCCTTATGAGTGAAATAATTTCTTTCCTTTCTGCTTATATAAGAGCCGAGTTTTCTCCTTCTTTTAATTTCTTCTCTTTCCTTATGAGTGGAATAATTCCTTTCCATTTTTCTTACATGAGAGCCGAATTTACTTCCTTTAATTCCTTCTCTTTCATTTTGAGTGGAATAATTTCTTTCCTTATTGCTTACATAAGAGCCGAGTTTACTCCTTTTAATTCCTTCTCTTTTCT